CTCCTCCTCCTCCCTCGGGAGCTGCTTCTCCTCATTTAGTCTTTCTCAGACTTCTTAAGCTGTGTCCCACTCTCAGATCTTTTCTCCCCTCTCAGACCCTTACTTCTTCCCTTAAGTTCTCACCTCCTCCATCAGACCCTGTCCCCCTCCCTCAGGTTCTCTCTCTCCCTTAAACAACGTATTTCTCTCTCAGACCTGCTTCAGATCCTCCTCTCTTGGGCCACATCCATCCTCACAGCACCATCAGCCCCTCTCTCCCAGCCTTTCCAAGCCCCTGCCCCCCAAGTGCATCTACTGGCCTCTCCAGTCCTGCGCCATAGAGCCATTGCAGAATCTGAACAGGGTTAAGAGGGAGTGGGAGGAACTTAGGTACCCTTTCAACCCTACCTCTTAGGGCCACCACCCTAAGCCCTGCCCCCTGAGCCTCAGCTTCCCTTTCTGTACAATGGAATACAGGGTTTGTTGCAGCCCCCACAACATTGGAGGCAAGGGTGGATTGACACTGTCCCCATTTTCCAGGAAAACGAACTAAGTCTCAAGACAGGGGATAGCTTGTCCGAGATCCCTCAGGAAGCAAAAGGTGGAGGTGAGATTTGAACCCAGGTCTGTGCCCCAGATGTTTCACCACGACAGGACCCTGAGGGGGTGATCCAGAGAGAGACAGAAAGGAGAGAAGAGGGAAGGGGTGAGGCCTCTGCCCACAGCTGCTCCTCACATCCTGGGTTAACGATCCACCCAGGTGGGGCCCAAGTCCGACCAAAGTCCTTTCCCGGGGACCAGGGCCCCACGCCCACTTTCAGGGTCCCAGAGAGACGTTGCTGGGGACACAGAGGGCAGGGCCAGGGAGTGGGAGAGGGAGGGGCAGGCAGGGCAGGACAGCGTTGAAAAGACAGAGGAAGACCCTAATAGAGAATCAGAGAGGTTCTGCGTGCCCTCGGGCAGATCCGGGGTGCTGCTCTCATTCATCCTGCTGTCTGTGTCCCCAAATCCTCCCCCTGCGCCTCCCGTGACTCAGTGACCCGGACTCAACCTCGGCAGCGGGCCCGCCCCCAGGGAAATCCGGGAAAGTCCCGCGCCTGCAGGGCCCCTCCCAGGGGCGGGGAGTGGGAGAGGAGGGGAGGAGACTGGGAACAGACCCTCCTCTGTCGCACCCCCTACCCCCCCGACCCCCGTTCCAGTGGGACTGAGTCATGCCCCAACCCGCTCGGCCTGTTCCCCACCCATCAACCTCTCCCCGGAGTGGGAGGGGAAAGTGGGGAAGAAGGGGGAGTCACACTGCTCCCCACCTCCTGAAGCCCAGACTCTGTCGCTCCGACTCTGGCCTCCTAATGTATTTCTTGCAATCTGTCTGTCTTTTCCTTTATCTCGCACGATCTCTCTGCCTTTTCCCCATGTTCTCTTTCTCCCTGTGCAGCCACGATTCCCCAAGCACCCACCCTGTGCCCGGCGGGCCCAGGCTGGGTGCAGGGACCCCTCTGGGAGAGACTTTTAAAGTGGAGGAGTCCTCACTCCCCACCTCCTACCCCCAGCCACGTTTAGAACCACTACTGGTGAGGCACGTGGAGCAGGCAGAGACGAGGCAGGGAAGGCGGAGGAATAGGTCCTGCCTGCCTGCCGAGTGCCAGTCCCTGCCCTGGGTGCGTCTATTTACTCCCATAAAGGAGGAAACCGCTCAGAGAGAGGAAGTGCCTAGCCAAGGTCACTCAGCGAGGAAGTGGGAGTCAGAATTCGAACTCCTGTCCTAGCGACCCCAAGGCTTCACGAGCGGTAGGGCAGCAGACATCAACCGAGAGACAGAAAGATGAAGAGAGACACAAAGAGACAATAGAGAGAAATAAACCGAAACAGTGAGAACAGAAAGACGCACAGAGACAAAAGGAGAAACACCTATTCAGACAGGAGAGTCAGAGTTACCGAGACTCACAGACAGAGAGACTAACAAGACAGAAAAGAACTGAATGAGAGCAGCCCCCAGCGGCGAGGGTGGGGACCCTCAACTCCGAACCCTCCTCCTACGCCTCCCCTACAGCCGGGGGACGGGCACGCGGCATGGGGCGCGGCACAGGCGGGGCGCACTGCGGCTGCACCGCCTGGCTGCAAGAGCAGCAGCCGGTGCAGGAAACCCCTGGGGTGGAGGGTGGCCCCGGGGGCGGGGAGGCCGGGGGCGGGGAGGCGGGAGGCCGGCACCGCCCCGGCCGACTAAAAGTCCCTTCAGTTCAGGCGGCAGCAGGGGAAGTCCCGGCGCCCTGAGAAACCACCCTCTAGCGCAGCCGAGTCTAGACTAGCAGCGCGCCGGCCGCTCACTCGGCCGCCGTCCCCGGCGGCCCAATGCCCCGATGCCCCGCGGGGGCCATGGACGAGGGGCCCGTGGACCTGCGCACCCGGCCCAAGGCCGCCGGACCCCCTGGTGCTGCGCTACCGCTCCGCAAGCGCCCCCTTCGTCCACCCTCCCCGGAGCCCGCTGCTCCCCGCAGCGCTCTGGGCCCAGTCGTCCCCCCGAACCCTCTGCTCGGCGGTTGCGACGGGCTGGCGGTCCCCGGGCCCCCTCACGGCCTGGCTCGGCCAGAGGCGCTTTACTACCCGGGTGAGTGGCCCCACAGGCTAGGGCGGGGTAGGGGCCCCCCACAGAGCATAGGGTCACCAGAGCCAGGGGACAGCTCAAGACAAAAATAGGTGAGAGTGAGGGAGCTAGGGACTGGGCAATAGAACCTGACGTCCCAGGGAGCGGTTCCTTAGAACACAAATTATAAGGGTCCCTGGGAGCTGGAGGTCATGGGAACCTGCAGGGCAGAGCCTGAAGGCTGCGTGGCACAGATAATGGAGAACCAGGGGACAGTTCCCAGTGGTGCACACATGGGGGTGTCAGGGAATCAGGGGTTAGACCCTGGCATCCCAAAGACACAGAATTACAAGCTCTTAAGAAGCCAAATAAGTAGGACTCTAAAGAATCCACATTCCTCTTATAAGAAAGAATCCACACTTGTGCAGGAGAAACTGAGGTTCCTGGTATCCAGATAGGTGGAATCAAAAGGAGTCAGGGGAACAAAGATTGTGGTTCTAAGGAGACAGATATTAGGGATCCCAGGATGTCACAATCTCAGAATCCAAGACATCTGGAAGTATGAGGAATTAGGATAACAGAGCTGCGATTCTGAGCATCCTAGTATCTGGGATCACAGGATCCAAGGAAAGAAACCATGGCTACAGATTTCCAGATACTAGGGGTTCCTGAGGAGCCAGAGGAACAGAGACCCAGGTTCTGGGTACCCAGTTCCATGGGGCCACAAGGTCCGGTGGCCCTGAGGGGCTTGGAGACTGAGGATTCCAGGGATAGGGAATAAGACTGGGTGATTCTGGGACGCAGGGATTTATAGTCTGGATAAAGGCCTTCCAGACCCAAGACTGTCTCCGGGCCAAGGCCTGGGATTGGAGACACAGGGACCTGGAAATGCAGGGGTTTAGGAACCAGGAGCCAAGGATCGGCAGAGAGGGACACATATTATTCTCCCCATCACATCTTCACCCCTGATCTCAAGAAAAGGGCATCCTATGACAGCTGTGGCCACCTCTCTGTCCCCAGTGGACCCCCAAAGCTTCAAATAACCCTTCTTTAGTGCCCCAGATCGATCTTTACCTAGTTTCATGCTCACTCCACCCCATCAGCATAGCAGTTGGAGAGCCTCACGCTGTGCATCAGGCGTGAGCCCAGGCCTCAATTTTCCCCATCTGTGTGATGGATGGGTATGTATTTGCCCACTGTCATGGTCACTTCCAACAGTTTGATCCGAACAGGCTTCTGGCACTACCCCCTCTGATTCTATCCTCTCTCCAAACCCACTGTCCGCTCACTCCCACCCTACACCCAGTTCTTCCTCCTTCCCTTAACTCCCTTAGCTACAAACAGACTCTGAGGTCCCTCTGCTAGGCTATGATTAGGGTTCTGTCTACCCTTAAGAGATTCATTGTTGGCTCGGTGCTTGTGGCTCAAATGGCTAAGGCACCAGCCACATACACCCAAGGTGGCGGGTTCGAATTCAGCCT